GCGGCGCCAGCTGCGCCAGCCCAGCCCGCGCGTCGAGGCAGGCGCCAGCAAGTGGGAGCCCGCGCGTTCCCAGGTCCTCAAGGCAGTTGAGGCCAGCGCGCCCCCTGACTCCGCCCAGGCTCTGCGGCCAGGAGGGGGCCCAGGCAAGGCAGCAGGCGCAAGCCGCCGTTGGCTGCGCAAGCCTCGCCCGCCAGTTCGCAGAGGCAGCTGGCACTGCGCTCGCTGCGGCTCTGTCAGCAGGTCCAGCTCTGCGTGCTCCTCGTAGGCTGCCAGCAAGGCCTCGTCGTAGGCCGCGGCCGTGGCCTCTGTGGCCGCCGGCGGGTTCGTCCACAGCAGGTGCGTGAGCGTGCTGGTGCCGCAGTGGCGTAGCAGGGCCCCCGCGGTTTGCGCCGCCGGCAGGTGCGGCGAGGCCGCGGTCGGGAGAACCGCGAGCTTGGCGAGGAGTTCTGCCGCCCGTCTCCCCCGTCTCCGCGCAGCGCGCCTTCGCGCAGTCCGCCGAGCCAGGTCTACGCGGCGCCCGTCGCTCCCGTCGGGCAGCCCCGCCGCGGGCAAGGGGGCCCCGAGCGGCACGCCCACGAGATTCAGGCCCTCTGTGCGCCACTGCTCTTCCAGGCCTGGAGGGCAGGCCGCCTCAGCGGACCAGGCCTGCGTTTTCCGTAGCTTTTATTCCAAGCCGAAGTTAGTCAGAGCCGTCTGCGGCGCCGCTTGCACTTCGCCCGCGAGTGCCGCCGGCGCCAGCGCGACGATGTCGTCCAGGTAGGCGAGGATGCGCACGACGCTGGGGTCCAGCCCCCGTCGTCCCGCGGCCGCGCGCAAGCTTTGCTCCACGGCGCGCAAGCGGGGCCGCATCCCGCAGGCAAAGAGCAGGGGCGCCAGCGGGTCTCCCTGGTCCACCCCTCCAGTTGCGCACAAGCGTTGGCAGGCGCCTGCTGTGTCCCAGAAGTAGTGTGGCTCCCGTAGGCAGGCCTCTCTGTTGGCGGAGCAGTGGCGTCGAGCGCGAGCACCGCCAAGCTGGGGTCTGCCTCCGCCAGGGCCCGCTCCGTGTGCGCAAGAGGCTCCATGTCCGCTGCCGTGCCCGCAGCAAACTGCTGCTCCCCCGGCGCTTCAGCCAGCTCGATCGTGCTTGCGGGGTGTCGCCCGCGCCTGGCCCACCAGCCGCCGCAAAATGTTCGCCGCCTCCTGGCTTGCGTAGCGGCGTGAGTTCTGCGAATGCCAGTGTCGCCGTGTTGCTCTCGGGGGCGAGCCCTCTGCGATCCGGTCGCTGACCTTGCAGAAGGCGGCCAGCGCGGTGGCTCTGCGAGAACGACTCGCCAGTGCTCGAAGCGTCCGCCACCTGCGGCGGCCCCGCTGCCCTGGGGGCTCGTCTTGAGTGCCTTCGTCGAGACCCCGTAGGAGAGCGGCGGCAGCGGCGCAGCGAGTGGCGCCGCCGCTCTGGGCAGCGCAGCGGCGGGGCGCGGCTGCAGGAGCGCCTGGAGCTGCTCTCCTGTCTCAGCGGTGAGCGGGGCGAGGCCTGGGCTGGAGAAGAGGGCAGCTGCTCAAGAGTGCTCCTCGCCCATGGCTTTCCAGAAAACGTCGTCTGCGAGGGGCCGCTCGTCCAGGGCGGCCCCGCCAGCCTGGCGGCGCGCCTTCGCCGGGGCCCTGGCCGCGCCCCTGGCCGCCGTCAGAAACTCTGCCCAGCCCCCCCTCAGCAGCGAGGAGCAGCGCTCGCGCGCGAGCTGTGCGCGGTCCAGGGTCTCTAATGCAGTGCGGCGCCACCGTCCGTTCGCCCCGAGCCGCGGGGGGCGGCGAAAAGCAGGCGCTCCGGCAGCGCGAGAAGCTTCCAGGCCCGCTCGGCCTTCACGCTCCCGGCTGGAGCCCAGGGGACCGCTTCGCAAAGCTCCTCGGTGGCTTGTGCGGCCGCTGCCCTGGCTCGTCCGGGGACGACCGGCAGCGCGCTGTGGGGCAGTCCAGCGCGAACTCCTCCGGGAGGTCGCAGGCGTCGGGTCTTGTCCAGCAGGCGGCCGTGAGGTCCCGAAGGGCGAAAGCAGGGGCAGCGTCTGCCGCAAGCGCGTCTCTCAGCGGCGGCGGCGCCCGCTACCCATCTGGAGCTGGGCTAGCTGCTGGCGCGCCTGCGCCCCCCGCAGCGGCCCCCTGGCCAGGCGCGGCCGGCGGGGCGTCCAGCGCGGCCCCGGCAGAACAGGGAATCGCATCCATGGCAGTAGCGGAGCTCCAGCGGGCCGTCGAGCCGCGACGGCGCCGGGGCCAGCGGGGCGGCCTCGAGAGCCGCGTGCGTAGCGGTCATCGCCGCAAGGATGGTCTCCGGGACGTCCGCGCGGGTCGCGAAACTTCCGTATCCCAGTTTCTCCAGGAGGTCCCGCGTAGCGCGCGCCAGGTCGGGCGCCTCGGAGGCGGCGGCGGCGGCCCCTCCCGCGGCAGCAGCCTCCGCCCGGTGCTTCCGGAGTTTGGTCTGGCCTTCCTCCAGCTCCCGCTCGAGCGCCTCCTGCGCGCATCGCGCCTCCGCCAAAGCAGTTTCGGCCTCCTCGATCCGTTTCGCGGCCTTTTCGGCGCGGGCAGCAGCGCGGGCCACGAAGGCCTCCAGGAGGTCGAGCCGCTTCCCCGGCCCCGGGCAGGCGGCGGCGCGCATGCGGTACTCGGCGGCTTGTCGCGAAAACTCCTGCGCCTCTGTCTCCAGGCCGGCTGCGCGCAGGTTGGCCGCGGATTCCTCCAGGGCGGCAGCCTTGCCCTCGGCGGCGGCGGCGGCTGTCACCTCGGGCGCCAGCGGCCTCGCCAGCCCCGAGGTCGGCGGAGAGGGCTGTCCCCCGACCGCCTCGCGCTGCAGCCGCCCTCCGGCGACGCCTGCGCGCTGTGCCAGGCCGTAACTGCGGCACGCGCTCCGCGACATCCAGTTGGTCGTACCGCACGGGCACGTCCATTCTGGACGGCGCTCTTTCTCCTTCTCCTTCTCCTTCTCCTTCTCCTTCTCCTTCTCCTTCTCCTTCTCCTTCTCCTTCTCCTTCTCCTTCTCCTTCTCCTTCTCCTTCTCCTTCTCCTTCTCCTTCTCCTTCTCCTTCTCCTTCTCCTTCTCCTTCTCCTTCTCCTTCTCCTTCTCCTTCTCCTTCTCCTTCTCCTTCTCCTTCCTCCTTCTCCTTCTCCTTCTCCTTCTCCTTCTCCTTCTCCTTCTCCTTCTCCTTCTCCTTCTCCTTCTCCTTCTCCTTCTCCTTCTCCTTCTCCTTCTCCTTCTCCTTCTCCTTCTCCTTCTCCTTCTCCTTCTCCTTCTCCTTCTCCTTCTCCTTCTCCTTCTCCTTCTCCTTCTCCTTTTTTTTCTTGGAGGGGTGCTTGAAGAGGGGCTCGAGGACGTCCTGCGCCAGCTGCGCGCGCAGCTTCCCAGCGCCACCTTTTCGCCGCGGCGGCGCGACCTGCCATGCCATGGCACGGGAGTGAGGGGCGAGATGGGGGCGGGGGAAGGGAGAAGAACGGGTGAGGAGGGAGGCGGCCGGGCAACGGCTGCGCGCGACTCGAGCCTCCTCCTCCTCCCACTCCTCCTCCTCCTCCCCTCCTCCTCCTCCTCCTCCTCCTCCTCCTCCTCCTCCTCCTCCTCCTCCTCCTCCTCCCCCCCCTCCTTCTCCTCCTCCCCCGCCTCCTCCTCTTCCTCCTCCTCCTCCTCCTCCTCATCCTCCTCCGCCTCCTCTCTTCCTCTTCCTCCGTCTCCTCCTCCTCCTCCTCCTCCTCCTTTTTCTCCTCTTCCTCCCCCCCCCACCAGATACGAGATATTGTCGAAAATGCCGTATCCTGAGGGACGTCGTCGTCGTCGAGGAGGCGCAGGACATTTTGTTGTGCCCCTGCCGTCCTGTGTCGCGTGTGCTTGCCACTGGCTCAGAAGAGCAGCTCAAGTTGCCGGTCGTCCGTCGGTCAGCCCTGGGCTGACCGGGGAGGGGGCGGGGTGTCGTCGTCTTCCATCGTCTTCCTCGTCGTCTAACGCACGCTCAGGGGGGCGCCTCTCTGTTTTTTTTGTTGCCTCGCCCAGGTGTAGGCCGCCCCATTAACGCGCTGGCCTCACCTGTGGGGCCGAGTGACACCGTCTCGAGGAGACCGCGCCGAGCCGAGGGTAACGGTTGTGACCGACAAGCCGAGGCTAGCCATATCGTGAGGGAGGGATCCGCTGGGAGTGGTGTTGGCTTCGCATGCTTGGGATCCTACGGAGCGATCGCTGTCGTGATTTGGAAAAGCGGGCCTCCCTCTTTCTTTTTTTTCCGCCATGGTCTTTGATTGTATTTAGTTTCATAATATTAACATACTCTGGTCGAATCCTTGGCGAAGCGCCCCCCTCTCCCAGTTGCAACATGCTCTTCGCAATCGAAACCCAATCTTGCCCGGCGGGGGCTGCCCCCAGCACGCCCTATTTGGCACCTTAGGCACCTCCGCCGTTTTCCGCCCGCAGCAGCTGCCCTGGCGGGCGCCCGTGTGCCTTGGGAGAAGGGTTGGTTTGGAAACTGGGGCGGCCTCGCCATGCCGAGCCGGGACCGCCGCCGCCGCGGGGAGGGCCGCGGCCGCCCGAGGCAGCGGCGTCAGTCCGTTGACGAACCGGACCGCAGCCGCACCCGGCGGCGCCCCCGCAGCATTCGCCCGCGCTCGCCGAGCCTGACCCCCACTTCGGTCGCTGGCACCCCGCCGGCCGGCGGCTTGTCAGCAGAGCTGGGGGCCATCATGAGTGCGTCTCCAGAGCGGGCGCCGCCCCAGTCTGTGGCGCGACTGCCCGATGCCCCGCCGGGCCTCTTCGGCCCTCCGGTCAGTAGGAGCAAGCCTCCGCCCCAGCAACCGCCGCACACCGTCGCGAGCTTGGTCGAGGAGCCGCCTCCGCCTCCGCTGCCCCCGCCGCCCCCGCAGTGCTCTTCGCCGCGGCTTGCGTCGCCGCGTCGCGCTCGGATGGCGGGGCCTCAGCGCGCTGCGGCGCCCTCGCCTGGCCCGCCGGCAGACAGCCCCCCGCCCCTCCCAGCGGGGTGGGAGTCCCGCCGGGGCCTCATCGGTCACGTATTCTTTCAGCACAGGGAAACGGGTGTTTCGCGGTGGGGCCGCCCTGGTGCCAGCCAGCCAGCCTCGCACGCTGACGTGCTTGCGGCCATCCGCGTCGAGCTCCAACGCCTCCAGGACTCTCCGTGCCCGTGGGAGGAATTAGGCATCCAGTCTGGGGCCGCATGTGGGTCGACAAGCACCCGGGAGCTTCCACGAGGGAGCTTCTGCAAGAGGTCAGGGAACGCTCCGCAAGGATTGCGGCCCTCCGCGCCCAGCTCGCTTCGGTCTCATCTGCGCCGCCCCCGAAAGCCGCCGCGCCACTGGCCGAGGCGGCGCAGCCAGCGAGCAACCCGCATGCTCCCTGTGGCCCCTTGGCGCCCTTCCCGTCGGCTCCTGCAGCGGCGGGGAGGGTGGGCCTGGGCGCGGCCCCTGCGCCGATCGGTCTCCCGCCAGCAGGGGCCGCGGTCAGCCCGCAGACTCGGCGCCACGCAAAGCGACGCCTCGACAACCAGGCCGTGGAGGCGGCGCTTCTCCAGGAAGCCTGCTGCTCAGTGAGGCGGGGCTCCCTGCTGGACGAGGCGGCCCCAGTTGCGCGGCCAAAGGCTACGCTGGGCCAGCGCGAGGTCGATGGTCAGTCTGCTGTGTTGCGAGGTGGGGCTGGCTGCAGGCCGCGGCTGGATGAGGAGGAGGAGGAGGCGGAGGAGGAGAAGGAGGCCCTTGCCCAACGGCGCAGCGCCGCACTGGGGCCGAAGCGAGGTCGGCGCCCAACCTGCTGCTTCCCACGGCGGAGCCCGCCGCGGGCTGGGGCCGCGGGAGGCATCGACCTCGCGATGCGAGGTCGTGCTCGTTCGGTGCGAGTTTGACGCCCAGGCTGCTGTGCTGGGAGGCGGATGCCATTGCAGACTGGGGCCGGAATGGCGACGAATGCGGCGGCCTGGGGGGCGCCGTCCACGGGGGCCACAGCGAGCACGAGTAAAAGCCCGAGGGCAACGAGTACGACGGCGTGCGCTATGGTGACACGCGCGACGTTGTGGAGGGCGACGACCATGACGACGGCGGCGAGTCTGTGACCAACGGGCAGCTCGCCGGAGCCGGGGCTGCATGCGCGCGGGCCTTCAGTGGCGCTGCAGCCGCAGGCGCCCCAGCCGAAGTGCAAGGGCGCGCTGGGGGCGCGGAGCAGCAGCGGCGCGACTGTGGGTGTCCCGCGGCTGCGCAGCGGCTCTGGCCGGAGGGTTGCCAGCCATGTGTGTTCTAGGTTGGCGATGGCCCAAGATGAAGTCCGCGGGGGGCCTTGTTCCACACGGGGGTTCGCGTTCCAGAGCCCCCTGAGAGCTTCCACACACTTCCACACGCCCCAAGAAAGTTTCACAACATGCGGGGGGCTTCCACAAACCCTGTGGACGGGGGGGTTCCACAAACCCCTGGGGGAGCTCCACAGAACCAGTAAGTGGTTCCACAAACTTCAGGGGGGTCCACAAAAGCCCCGTGGGGGGTCCCACAAACCCCGCGGGGCGCCCTTGGAGGCGTCCAAGAGGCTACCGGGAGCTGGGGCAGGGCGCCACCTGGAGATGGAGCTGGTGCTGGGACTTGAGGTGTTGCTGGGGGTTGGGTACTGGAGTCGTCTCTGGTGCTGGATCCAGCCGAAGTTGGAGGCCTGGGGTTGAGGATGGAGCTGGGCTGGGTGCTGGAACTGGGGCTGGAGCTGGAACCGGAGCTGGGGCCGGATGGGTGCGGATTGAGTTGGGGCTGGACCTGGAGCAAAACAAGACACCCTCACACGTTGCGTGGCCCCATCGGGAACTCCACCGAAGGCCCCAGTGGCTGCGCTCGCATGCGCCCGCCTTGCTCATTTCGGCACACCCTTCTCACGCTTCTTGGCCCCAAGCTCCACCGAAGGCCCCCCTGGCTGCGCTCGCGTGCGTCCGACGCGCCCGTTTTGGCATACCCCTCACACGTTTCGTGGCCCCATGGGGATCTCCACCGAAGGCCTCACTGGCTGCGCTCGCGTGCGTCCGCCGCACCCGTTTGGGTACACCCCTCACACGTCCCGTGGCCCAATAGGGAGATCCACCGATGACAATATTCACAATTGCTTTAGTCACAACTGCATATGGTTGGGATCTTCACCAGGCTAATTTTCAGCCGAACGATTGGAAGTCGCGCTCCCTCAAACCTTGGCAGAACCATTTTTCGAACAATCATGACAATGTATATGTATCCAAGTTTACACGATAGCCAGTGATGCTCCAACGACAAATCTGTCAGAGTCCCTGCGCGCGGGCACTTTCCCATCATCCTCGCCAGCGAAATCGTCACCATCTTCTCTCGCGCCATCATTGCCATTGTCGTCATTATCATCATCACCATCATCATCATTCTCATCATCACCACTACCACCATCATCATCATCAGCATAATCAGCATCATTGTCATCATCATCATCATCATCATCATCACCGCCATCATCATCACCACCATCATCGTCATAATGCGTATCATCATAGTCGTTACCACCATCTTCATCACTGTCACCACCGTCGTCATCGTCACTACCGTCGACATCATCATAGTCATTATTATCGTCATCGTCATTGTCGTGGTCGTCGCCCTCGCCATCATTTCCGCCACCTCCACCATCATCGTCGCCTTCGTAACCATCATCATCGTCCGCGTGCCCGAGTCGTGGATCTGTACGAAGTGGGCATTCGTTTCGTTGCGACTGCGGAGTTTGCCAAGAGGTTGCGGGTGACTGGGTGTGATGATTCCACTAGCAGTGGAAGTGGTATCCCCAAGGTTGCTAAAACATTCCAGCCCGTAGTTTGCATCACGTGAGGTGCACACCTCGTGAACAAGGACCCAGTGCTCGGGGTTAACGTTCGCGAACATTCGGATTCGATGACACGGACCTGCTTGCGATCTTTCGCTTTCAGTCGCGATTCGGCCCACTTACGTGCGTTTTGATTAGACGGACCATCTGGGCTCAGGGGCGGTCAAGGAAAAGTGAGACCTTTTTAAAGATGTGTGGAGTTGGGTTCGTGCGTGAGGGTGGGGTCTTTGAGACGGGGCGGCAAATGCATACCTGCCGCGTGCGCAGTTTCAGTCAGCAGAGCGGTTGGACAATGGATGCATGGTGGGCTCAGGCTCAATCGGGCCAGGGGCCTGGCCAGGCTCGGGGAGAGGCCGGCGACGTTTTCAGAAAAGGCAGCTCGTGCTGGAAAAGCACACGTCGCAGGGGCGTCTCTGCCGAGCCCACTCGTCGACCGCGCACTCGGCCGAGCGGTCGGCTGACCGCAGTCCGAGGCGGGCATTTACCCATAGCCACCGCCTGGGGGATCGATGCTCGCAGACTTCGCAGGCGGTGAATATGATGGATACTTTCGGGCCCTCGGGGGCCAACAGATATCCATATCCGCCGCCCGCTGGGGCACCAGGACGTCGGTTCCCAGGCGGTGGACATGGGAACGTTCCCGCCTCGCAGACAGGATTTTCCCGCCCGCATTTTTTTTGTTCGGCAGTCTGGGAGCAGCGTGCCGCCCGGTCAACCTCACATCGGGGCGTCCAGGGTGCGAGTACGGTGCGGGCGTTCGTCAAGGAATGGGCCCAGGAGGCGCCAGGCCTTGGAGGAGTCCTTCTCGGACGAGGGCGGCGGTGGTGTCCATGGCCGATCCACGACTGGAGCTCCGCGGGCTTCCCGACCCTGGATTTCTTGACCAGTGGTTCCTTATCCTTATGTCGAGCGTGTCCCCCTACAGGGGGATTTTCGACGAAAAATTAAAAAGAACACACCAGAAATAGTCAAAATAACGCTACCGAGGAACCCCGCATACTTAATTTAAATCTTACGTGTCTGCTTAAGTTTAATATATATATGCGCAATTCTGCGTTCTGAGCCCTCGTTGCGAATGTTCCCCTATGTGTCATCCAACGCCATATTGCTTGAACCTCCTCCCTCTTCCTAGCCTTCTATCCTCCATTGAGGACAGATTCGAGCCAGCCAGCGGCCGCGGTGAGGGACCACCCCCTGCGCACCCCGTCTGGCGTCGAGAAAGCGCCACGCTTGCTATGCCCTGGACGACCGTCGTGCACAGTGGCCGCGGTGAGGGATCACACCCTGCGCACCCTCTATGGTGTCGAGAAAGTGCCGCGCCTGCTATGCACTGGACGACCGTCGTGCACAGCGGCCGCGGTGAGGGACCACCCCCTGCGCACCCCCTTTGGTGTCGAGAAAGTGCCACGCCTGCAATGCCCTGGACGACCGTCGTGCATAGCGGCCGCGCTGTGGGACCACCCCCTGCGCACCCCCTATGGTGTCGAGAAAATGCCACGCTGGCTATGCCCTGGACGACCGTCGTGCATAGCGGCCGCGCTGAGGGACCACCCCCTGCGCACCCCCGAGAAAATCTATGCCTGGACGACCGTCGTGCATATGAGGGCTGCGCGTGTGTCTGACCATGCTGAGGGGCGCCCCCAACCTGCATCCAGAGGCCGCGCCTGCTCGTGCATAGCGGCCGCGCTGAGGGACCCCCCCCTGCGCACCCCCTATGGTGTCGAGAAAGTGCCACGCCTGCTATGCCCTGGACGACCGTCGTGCATAGCGGCTGCGCTGAGGGACCACCCCCTGCACACCCCCTATGGTGTCGAGAAATGCCACGCCTGCTATGCCCTGGAAGACCGTCGTGCATAGCGGCCGCGGTGAGGGACCACCCCCTGCGCACCCCCAGTGGTGTCGAGAAAATGCCACGCCTGCTATGCCCTGGACGACCGTCGTGCATAGCGGCTGCGCTGAGGGACCACCCCTTGCACACCCCCAGCGGTGTCGAGAAAATGCCACGCCTGCTATGCCCTGGACGACCGTCGTGCATAGCGGCCGCGCTGAGGGACCACCCCCTGCGCACCCCCTATGGTGTCGAGAATATGCCACGCCTGCTATGCCCTGGACGACCGTCGTGTATAGTGGCCGCGCTGAGGGACCACCCCCTGCGCACCCCCTATGATGTCGAGAAAATGCCAGGCCTGCTATGCCCTGCTGTGCTGAGCTGAGCTGTGCTGTGCTGTGCTGTGCTGTGCTGAGCTGAGCTGAGTTGAGCTGTGTGGAGCTATGCTGAGCAGTGCTGTGCTGTGCTGCGCTGTGTGAGAAGGGGAAGAGGGAGGTGAGGTGAGGGAGCGCGGGTGCGACGAGGCATGGAAGAAACCCAAAACCCCACTAAGCATGTGGGGAAGTAGTCCAACAATAGTCAGTTTTTTTGTTTTTTTTGTTTTTTTGTTTTTTTGTTTTTTACTTTTTTGGGGTATTTTTTATTTTTCGTCGAAAATCCATCTGTAGGGGGACACGCCCGACGTAACCTTATCCACTGCCCTCGCCGTACTGCTTGGCGGCTGTCGCCTTGGGCCGCTGTCGGGGCCCCGATTCCCCCACGCGTGGGGCAGGCCCGGAGGAAGCCGAGCAGGCGCCGGGCGCGACGTCGGGCCCCCTTTTTAAGTCGGGCCTGTCCCCCTACAGGGGGATTTTCGACGAAAAATGCAAGTACACTAAAAATAACCAAAAAATAGTCAAAAAATAATCAGGGGACTATTTTTGAATATTTGTTTGATCTTTTTTGGGTATTTTTCGGGGTATTTTTTTGAGTGATTCGTCGAAAATCCTTCTGTAGGGGGCCACGCCCGACATGACCCCATTTTTTCTCGCGCGCGGGGCAGGCCCGGAGTCGAGCAGGCTGTGACGTGCTGCGCAGGGTCCGAGCTTGCAGATTCCCTGGGTTTGCTCGGTCCGCGAGCCGCGTGGGCCGTGCGTCGGGTCCTGGGGTCTCGCGCCAGGCTGGATCCATCCATCGGTCCCCCTCGTGTTTTGGTTTGCGGATGCTCTGCGACATCCAGGTCCGACCACGGCTGTCTCGTCCAGTGGTGCACTGCTCGTCGTGCAATTGTGACGCTGCGGCCCTGGAGGAGTTCCCGAGCCTGCCGCTGAAGGAGGGCAGCTGCAGCAGCTTGAGCAGCAGCAGCAGCTGGAGCAGCAGCAGCAGCAGCAGCAGCAGCAGCTGGAGCAGCAGCACACCTTGGAAGAGCATGTGCTGGCCTTGCGCCTGCAGCAGCTCCAGGCGGCGCTCAGAACATGCGTCTTCGGCTTCAAAGCGTCTGCCCTTTTTTGTCATGATGTGTGCGGGCTGAGGTATTGTACCACGATGTGAATGTGTGATTGCCTTTTCCGCAACTCGCGTAGTTTTCATAGTACATTTTGAACATGCTTGGACAGAATGCGACCGCATGCGTCTGGCAATGTATTCGTACTCTCGCCCATGCGTTTCCATAGGTCAGTGATTCACATCAGTGTCCCGTAGTACAAACAGTGGGCCCGCATCGTGTGCCATCATGCGCCAAACGGAAGCCTGCCCAGAAGCTCGACTTGCGGCCCGGACGGGATGAATTCAGCACCGCTCATACAGTCAGGCAACCAGTATAATAAGGACGCACGATAAGGGTGCAAGGGCCTTGGAAGGCCATGTGGCCACTTTGCGAGCGGGGCGCGGCCAGCGAAAGCGGCCAAGGAAGGGCCGAAGGGCAAGGATGCAAGGGTCGCCACTCAGAGTTGCTCATCCTTATTGTGCTGGTTGACTGTACGTGCGGGAGGTCCGCATTTCCGTGAGGAATGTCGTTCGCTGGTGGTCACCGTGGATGCTGTGGATCTAGGCCTCCCAGATGGGGTCGGAGTAGATGGGGTCGGAGGGATCGCGCCGTCTCGTCGATGCATCGGCCATGCATCGGCTATGCGGCTCGATGTGGGGCCCAATTTTCTCCGCGCTGACGTCGCGGATGTATCGCCGACGTCGCCAGTGCATGGCCGATGCATCGCCGATCGCCGATGCGTCGGCGATGCATCGGCGATGCGGCGCGATCCCCCGACCCCATCTACTTGGACCCCATCTAGGAGGCCTCTAGTGTGAAGTCGGGCCTGTCCCTCTACGGTGTCGTCGAAAATCCCTTTGTAGGGGGACACGCCCGACATAAGTCTAGTGGATCCTGGTGACCGCCCCCGGTGCCGGGCTGACTGCCACGGCCACGCAGGCTCGGCGGGGGCCGTGCCGATGCTCCGCGCCTGTGGCTGCGGGCGGGCAGGCTCCCGGCGTCGAGGGGCTTCCCCCGCGCGAGCGCAGTCTTCAGGCGCTGTCGCCTGCGCGCAGGTCGTGCGGTAGAGCACGGCCCGTGGTGTAGCACTCTTGCGTGCAGGGTTTTCTTCTTTCGTCGAGACCGCGCCCCCTCTTCGATGGCACTGGGCTCTCGACAGTGAGCCGTGGTACGTGCGCCAGAGTTGTTCCTTAGTTAGGCTGTGCCTAGGAGGTCATTTTCCTGCGGGTTCCTCGGGGGATCGTCGGGGGCTCCTGGGGGTTCTTCAGGGGTTCCTCAGGGGTTTCTGCGGAGTTTCTGTTAGCTTCTTCGAGTGATTCTCAGCAGTTTCTCGTGGTTCCATGCCTTTCTTTGCTTTGTATTGACTTGCGTGGAACTTCATTGCTTGGCATCGTTCCACATTGCTGTTCGTTGCCGTGAGTTGCGATGCATTGCATTGCATTGCATTGTATTGCATTGCATTGCATTGCATTGCATGGCATTGCATGGCATTGCGTGGCATTGCGTGGCATTGCATGGCATTGCATGACATTGCATGGCATTGCATGGCATTGCATTGCATTGCATCGCTTGCCTTTGCAGTGCTCTGCGTTGCCCAGTTTTGCGTCATGTTGCTCTCCTCTGCCTTGCACCACACTGCACTGCTTTATATTTCCATGACCCCGGCCCGCCCTCCGGCCGCCTGAGGCCCCGCCCGCCTGTGCTCTGTCTCCCCAAGGAGAGCTTTGCGTAGCCCGCCCAGCTTTTCACCGGAAGAGGCTCGCTGTCGACCCGCAGACCCAACAAAGACTTTGTACTTCCATGCTTTCCCTGCTCTCCCTGGCACAGCTCTTTGCGCTGCGGTGCCCCTGCCCCTGCATTGCATCGCATTGCCTTTGCAGGACTTTGCGTTGCCCAGTTTTGCGTCGTGTTGCTCTCCCCTTGCCCTGCACCGCACTGCACTGCTCTGTGTCCCTGCTCTCCCTGGCACAGCGCTCTGCGCTGCGGTGCCCCTGCCCGGTCTGCAGGCCTTTGGGCCGCGCCTCCGCGCCTTTGACGCCCGGGCCCGCCCGTGGCCGCCCCGTGCGCCGACCGGTGCTTTCGTGCCTGGTGTTTTTTGTGGGGGCTCCCTCCCCAGAGAGCCATCGCATTGACAAAAATCAAGACGGAGGTTTTTTATATTTTGTTCGGCCTCGAGGGGCTGTCGCCGGGCCCAGGGACCGTCACATAACGACTCAGGATGCAAAAGCGGTCCTGGGGAGCGGGTCGAGACTTCTGGGGGCCCCGCATTGAAAAAATCACGACGTCGGATCTCTGGGTCCTGCGGAGAAGGCGCCTGTGAAGGAGTAGTCCCGGGAGGCGCCAGACCCTGGAGGGTTCCTTGTCTCGGGGGCTCCCAGACGGGGCGGTGACCACACCGTGCGGTGAGTCGGTGGGGATTCGGGGTCGCCGCACGGTTTTTGGGCTCTGGTTTTTCTCCGAGGACGTCTCGGGCGACAGGGGCCTCCCGGGTCCCAAGATCGTGCGGTCACGGACCGTGCGGTGAGGTCTTGGGGGATTTGGAGGTCACTGGACGGTCTGTCACCGCACCGTTTCTGGACTCCAAGTTGTCCAAGGAGGGCGGTGGTGGTGTCCATGGCCGATCCACGATGGGAGCTCCGCTGGCCTCCAGGCCCCGGATTCTTTATCTGGGGGTTCCTTGTCCAATGCCCACACCGTAGGTGTGCACCACGCTTGTGGTGCACCAAGTTGGTTTCACCGCGTAACTTGCAACCCACAGTTCGTACAAGGTATATTGCGCTGCTTAGATTGCACCAGATAAACTGTATCACTCACGCTGCACTACACCACTTGCTGCACCAGATGTTCAGATCCACACAGACTGCGCAGCATGGATTGCACAACGCGTGTTCCATGACAGAAGTACCCGCGTTCCCAATCCAAATGCATCAACGCAATTGTTTACACTGGAACGCATAATGACATACACACCAAGGCTGCCAACGAATGAACACAACAACATGTAGGAAACTGATGCGTAGGTTCGTCAAAGGTACACACGCCAGCAACGTAAACACATGACGAGGCCAATGCAATGCACAGTAAATCAAGCCACTTCGAACTTGTGCAGTTTTTTTAGTGCGACGCTAAGTGGGCCACGTCGTTACAGTGCAACACACATTGCATTGACCTGTACGTAGTCAGTGCGCTGCAGAATGCGAGGAAACCCAGGTACACCATATTTTGCCAGATCGAACGTGGCGTAAGGCGAGGGCCCATAAGGCACGACAGAAGCAGCGTCTCTCACACCAGAAGGTAGCGCCACAAGCAGCACTAGGGATAACACGATTGATCTCGGTCCAGACGGGCACAAGCACCGTACGGCGAATCCAGTCAACTCGATTCAACGCAAGCCACCGCAAAGCGAACCGTGTTGAAGCAAGCTAGGATGCCTTGCACTCTTGCTTGTTTCTGCCTGTCTGTCCTTGCTTTGCGTTGGTCGCCTGCCTCACCGCTGAGGGCTTCTGCTGAGAGTGCATCCCGATCCGGGCTGGGAAGATCCCGATCCGTCGATATTGGGCCTGTCAGGTAACTGGCCCGACGATCAGTCCGAGTCGGAGTGGACGACTGGTCTCCGATCAGCGAGATGGTCCACGCTGTGGGATGGACTGGGCTGGCTGGCTCCAGATCGGGCTGAGGCCGTAGAGCGTCCTGGCTGTGGGAGGTGCTTCTCGATATCTGGGGCCAGCAGTGCCGCTTCCGAGCTGCCGCGTGCAGGGGCCCCGCGTGCACTCAGGCGCTGCTTGCCGAGCAGTACCTGCTCCACTTCCGCGGCATCCCTCTGGAGCCCAGCGTCGTCGAGTGGCTCCTGCAGGACGGTGCCACCCTCCTTTTTGCAGAGACATCTCTTGATGTGGTGGCCAGGGGGGGCAATCAGCAGCGGAGGGTATGTCGTCTTTGGCATTCCGGGTGGGTCCAGAAGGGGTCTGCACCTGGACGTGGGGCCTGGGCTGGACGTGCGTTGCCTCTGCGGTTCGCTTCCCTTGCTAGGAGTTCTCCAACGTGTTCGTGGGCTTCCCAGGAAGGATTTGCTTGCCCAGACCTGGCAGGGGGTGAGCCCCGCGCCACGGGTGGTGGAGTGCTTTCGTGTGTGGTTGGCTGGGGTCCCACCGGGGTTGGGCGGTCAGTGAACGGTGTCGAAAGGGGTTGGTCACCACGCACCAAAACCATCCCAAACCAAGCCGAGGGCCCCAATCTGCCCTCCCTTTCTAGTGGGTGGGGCGTCCGGGAACATGGACAAAAAACACATGAGGAACCCGTACTCACCCAAACCCGCAATGTGGGTCTTCGAGTTGGGTTGGGGTGGTTTGGTAGGTAGTCAGTTGGATGGAGTCACCCTGGTGTTGCCCTCCAGGCTGGGCTTAGGTGAATGCCATTCGGCATTGCAGAGCAGACCTGGTCACATGGGGCGTGAGCCTGAGCGCCGAAGCCGCCTCCCCGAAGTTTTCCCGTCCTGCATCCCGTCTATTCTCGTTCTTCCATCTTCAGTCGGCCTGCGGCGCAGGAGCTCCAGCAGCTGTGTCCAGATCCTGCCGACGGATGCGCGGCCGCCGTCTTGGCTGGCGCCGCAGCCACCGCCACAGCGGCCGTCGCAGCCGCGTACGCCGAGGGGCCAGAGGCGCTGGGACCAGAGGCGCTGGGGCCAGAGGCGCCGGGGCGAGAGCCCGACGCCGCAGAGGCTGGCAAGCGAAGGCCGCGCATCCCTCCCGCCCGTGCCGCCGAGCCGCCCCCCTCCTTGCCTAGACCGCCGCGCCGTCGTCGTCGTCGTCCTCCTCCTCCTCCTTCCGCTCCTCCTCCTCCTTCCTTCAGTAGCCATTTTGGCTCAAGATTTTCAGGCCCCGTGGCAGAGCACGGAGACCCCTGGTCCGGGGGCAGTCAGGACCGCTGCTGTCCGCACTCGTTGTGCCTGCAACGCTGTGCCTCTCCATTTACTGTGCTGCGAGCAAGCAGCGTTCATATCACGCGCCATCTGTGCAGGCGGCCGCGGGCCCTACATCCTGTCGTGCTGCTGTGACATCATGGGGCTCCCCGACGTCATCGCCACTCCTCCGCGTGCCGCCGCTGCCGAGTCCGTCGGCGAAGGCAAGGGCAAGGAAAACATCATGGCGCCCAGAAACTTGCTGCCATCGCCATCCCAGCTCATCAACGGAAGCAACTCCAGGACCTGTTGCAGCTCCAAGTCGACAAGGCCGCCGCCGCCTTCGAGACTACATCCAAGCAAGTGGTCGCTGCCGCGGAGGCTGAGCTCCTGGCCTCCATCACAAAGACGACCGAACAGCTCTGCGCCCGTCAGGAGTCCACTGAGCGGGACGTTGCTGAACTCGAAGGGCGCGCCGAACGTGCTGAGCGTCTGCAGGGAGACCTACACGCCGGCGTTGCCGCCCTTCAACATGCACTACAACATGCCGAGGCCCTGCGCCCCTCCCTGGACCTGGACGCCGTCGGCTCCTGGGATCGTGCCCTTCGTGCGGTGACGCCACCGAGTTCTCTGTGGTCCGCCCTGTCAGAATGGTTCTCCGCCGCTAAGGTGGACATCAACGCGCTGCGCATCAACGCGGACGGCCCCGCGAAGAGGTTATCCTTCCCGCTCGCGGGCGGCGACGTGGTGGCCATCCTTCAAGCGTAGGCTCTACACCGCGCTCTTTGGCAAGGTCACGACTTGCGCCGCTTCCAGATCGACGCCTCTGGTGGCACCACTCCCCTCTACGTTTCGGCCAACAAGTCGCCGCGCATGGTCCGCCAGGAGGTCCAGCTCAAGAAGCTCAACAAGCTCATCCTCGAGAAGAACCTCGATCATGTCATTCGCATCCACCGCACTGGCGGATTCCTGTTCACCAATGGCGCTCCCATCGTTCAGGTCACCGCGGGTGCAACGCCTGAAGCTGCCACCAAGGTCCGTCTGCCGCCGCCGAGCCCGCAGGCATTCCCGTCTCGGAGCATGACAGCCTGGTGGCTACGCGGGCGTCCGCGTTCGCCACCCCTTTGGACGCCGTGCAGTGGCTTTAGCCCGAGATGGTCTCCGTGGCTCCTCAAGCCTCAGCGTGATGGACTCAACATCGTGACCTGGAACTCACAAGCGCGACGCGGGCGATCAGCATTTCGTCGAGACCTGAAGCGCAAAGTGCTCCTGCCCTACATGCGCCAGCGCGCGGTCATCGCCATCCAGGAGACCCACGGCAATCACATCGACATGGACATCTTGGCTTCTAGCTCCGAGCACAGCTACATCGCCTTTCATGGCGCTCTCATGGTTTACGGCTCCCCCGCGGAGAATGCTGGTGGTATCGCCATCCGGATCCCCTTCGATCGCGCCGAGCATCGCCTTCCACCTGAGCAGCGCCCGTCACGATCATTTCGCGCGATTGTCCCTGGACATGCTGGAGAGCTACGAGTTCGTGACAGCTCTAAGCAATCCGAGACAGCAGTTCTCAACGTGCACAACGTCGAGCTGACGGCGACCGATCGGCTGCGCCTCCGTGAAACATGGGGGGCTGCTTCCCAACGTTCCGCCTCGGCTCCTGACGCACGCGACGCCATCGTGATTTACGACTTCAACATTGTGGCCACGCCCCCGAAGAACTTGCCCCGCCCGACGCCCGACTCCACCGCCGAGCGCTACCACCACCAACCCGCCTACTGGAAGAACCTCTTCTCGCAGATGCTGGGGATCACGACCAATGCCACCACGCACCGAAGTGCCGCCAACATGACAGAGGCGACCATCGATCGCTGCTTCGTCTCGCTCAACGCCTCCAACACCCCGCACGTCGAGACCATTCTCGTCGCCGACGGCCGCCCTCTTGACCGAGAAGGAGAGCCCATTGGCGACCGCAGGCCTCTACACCTTCGCCCACGCCCCCGACAACAACGACCTGCCGACGAGCAGGGTATCCCTGCGTTCCTCTTCGAGTCCAAGCACTACAAGTTCTACTTCCAGCGTCTCATCAAGCTGGCCGACTTCTCGGTCACCGATCCTATCGCGAGGTGGCGGACCATGAAGCGCGCAATGAAGCTGGCGGCACGCATGACCCGCGACGCTATCTCCTCGATCGCCGCCTCCGAGCTCCTCTCCGACGAACCGGAGACTCTTGCCGAAGCCCGCGCACTCACACTGCGCAGCGTAGCCCGTGCTGTCTGGTGCCAGGGCGTCAAGCTTGCCCGACTGCCCCACGCCGACACCACCGCTGGCGCATCGCACCTCGTCGTCCACGACAATCAGGTCAGCCTTGTGGATCGCGCTGCCTTCGAGACTGAGCATTTTGCCATGCAGGTCCAGATCGCCGCCCAGCGTCGTCTTGCTACCGCCGCTCATTCGCGAGCTTCCCTTGCATCGCAACAGCCAGCTCTTAGCGGACAATGGCGACGCCGTGCGCGGCGTATCGGACAGCGCAGCGAGGTCTGGAAGCCTTTCACCAAGCGCTTAATCCTCGCTGGCATCCGCATCTCTGACAGCTACGATCACCGCAGAGTGTCCGACCTTGTGAGCATGCACAGCGCCATCCAGACCCACTTGGCCAAGGTCTTTGACGCCAAACCTTTGCATCATCAAGACATGCTCCACTACTTAGACTCGGTCTTCCCTCAGCAGCCACTTCGTCATCTTCCGCTCCCTGATGTTGACGCACTCCAGACCGCAGCTAGGCTCGCGGGTGACTCTGCTCCAGGCCCTGACGGACTTCCATATCGTGCCTGGGTTCACTCCGAGGGCAGCCTCGACGTGCTCCACGATCTCCTTGCATCTATGGCGGCTGGCGAACACATCCCGTGCGACCTGAGCTACGCCATGATGGTCATGCTCCCCAAGGGCGATGAGCCGCTCGGCAACTACGAGTGCACCCGCAGCCCCGACTGCCTGCGCCCCTTGGCCATGAAGAACAGCGACATCAAGATCATTGCTGCCGCCGCCAACCGCGTCCTGCATTCGGTCGCCTCAGGCACTGAGCAAGAATAACAGGGCTTCGTCAATGGCCGCCAGTTCCTCCACAGCATAGTCAAGGTCGACACCGTCGCAAGCATGACCAGCATTGACGACGCCGCCGACAAGTTGATGCCCTGCTTCGCCAGCATGGAGATTGCAGCAGCGTTGCCCAGTCTTACCCGTGATTGTCTTTTGGAAGCGCTTCGACGCTGGGGCACCCACGGCACATTCCTCCAGCTCCTGCACTGCTGCTACCACCCGTCGCTGGCGTTTCTTGAGCTTGGTGGCATTCGCCGTCTTCTTCTTCTGGCCCAAGGCTGTCCACTGAGCGGCGCACTCTGGGCCCTCACTTTCGACCCCATCATCGAGGGCATCAAGGGAGAGCTCGCCGCGCTCGGGCGCGGCCTCCTCAGTGCCTGCGCGGACGACCTCGGCATCGTCTTCGCCGCCCTTCGCGATCTTCGTGCTCTTCGCCCTCACCTCCGTGCAGCGCTCCTGCACGCTGGGCTGCGCCTTCAAGCCAGAAGGTGCGTCTTTGTTCCTACTTGGTCTCTGCCCACGCCTGAGATCATCGATACCATGCGCAGCATCCTTGAAGACATCTACGAGCCGTAGAAAGACTTCACTATCAACACTGAGGTGCGCTACCTCGGTGTTTTCATCGGGCCTGGCGCATCTATCGACGGTCAGTGGCGTGGCCCCGCCAATAAGTGGTGGGAAGGACTCCAGATCCTCGGTGTCTCCCACGCTACCATCCAGCAGAGCATCAAAATATGCAGCGCCGCCGCCGTGACGTGTCTATCGAACGTGGGCCAGCTCTTCCCGCCCTCTCCCTTCTTCTCGGCCAAGGAGATACATGGCTTGCACGAGCTGATCCGAGCGGCACCTTCGAGCTTCACGAAGATGGACATCGTATCGTTCCCCCAGTGGGCCTCCACCCCGATGCCGCAGGGCCTCGACATATCTTGCTGCTACTGTGTGGCGCGCGGCCACCTTCATGGTCGCAGGCTGGGAGTCCCTTCTTCGTGGACATCATGGACTCGCCGAAGAACGTCTCCCGATTCGCCAGGTGATAAGTGGCCAATGGTCTGCTGACTGTTGGACTGACAAGGCCTCAATTGCGCAACGCTTCGACGCCGTCTCCAACCGCAAGACGTCCCCGACCGGCAAAGGCCCGATCTTCAAGACCATCGCCCGCTCGACTTGATCGACGTCAAGCGCTGCATCCGCGCTCAGTCGTGGCCACAAGCTTGCCGCGCTTGCTGGACATCCAGCGAGTACTGCTGCCAGTCGTGGCAGGGCTGGCCAGCGCCGCGGCAGGCACCGTGGCAGGGTACAAGGGCTTGACGTTGCCGCGACACAGGCTGCTCCTAGCACTTCGCCTCAACAAGCTTATCTTCGTGAGCTCCAACACCTACTGTACCACACCACGATGTCTTCCACAAGACGGTGCTGCGTCGTCTTCTTGCCTGGTTCCCTCTGCTGCCCGCGGGTGGCGGCGGCCCCTCCGTTGGTTCGGAGGGTCCGGGTGCATTCTCAAGTACATCCGCGGATACATATGTGACCGCGACTCCAGATGCATCTCGCCCGCGAGTTGACGCCGCCTCCCACGACTCCATTCAGTACTTATTTGGCAACGACATCGACAACCAGAAGGACTGGATGGACTGGTGCGTCCCCTACGTGACCGCCGTGCTGCAGCGGTCGCAGTTTGATGCGAACTTCGCCCTCGACGACGCCTTTGGTGCTGATGCGGCCCGCCGTGACAGGGCGGTCGAGATCTGTGCGATGGCTTGGCAGCGCAGTGATCGTCCTCGCTCTCGGCGCTTGGGGGTCTACAGAGACGAGCGACAATCGACCATCGCGCAGCGTGAACTTGCGGAGGATGCTGCCGAACGTCGTGCCCGCCGCCGATGGATTGAGCAAGAGATCCGCAACAATCCGCGCCTGTCCCCTGCTGCTGACCACGCGACATCGGCTACATCTACCACTGCCAGTGCGAGCTGGCGCCAGATGGACGTCCTCGAGAACAGCGACGCCCCCTCCCGTGATGGGCTTCCTGGGAGGCCTTTCATCCCCAACTCTATCGTCACCAAGCGGCGCGGGCAGAAGAGGCTGCTTGCGAACTCGCCCTCCTCGCTCTTCTGGCCTGCGGTCAAGCCGTTGGCGGGGGCCTGGACTACGGCGTACCGCGTGCGCGTGAACCCGCACAAGAAGCCGTGCTTGTTCGGGTGCGACTCACGCGATGACTCCAGGAACGTGGGCGACATCAGCCAATACGTGACATGCCCACACATGTGGGCTATCGTCGCCAGGCCGCGCGGCCAGCTCTCAACGGACTTCCTCGCTCGCATTGGCCTGGCGAGTCCTGAGACCGACGACGACCATCCACGTCATGTCATCGCACGATTGACAGTGGCATACCGCACATACAACATCCTGCGCACCCAGCGCGAGACCGACCTCCCGACGGACGCCGTTCCCCGCACAAGCACTCCATGTACGAGAGCCGCATGAACGCGGCTGCTGCCGCCCGCCGCGCCCTGAGGCTGCCCCGTTGCCTTGTGGGCGGGGCGGGGCCGCTGCGCCGTTGAGCGCCTGACGCGCGCCCTCTCAGTGCGTCGTTCGCTCCTCCTCCTTCCTCCTTCCTCCTCCTCCTCCTTCCTCCTCCTTTCTCCTCCTTCCTCCTCCCCCTCCTTCCGCCGCCTTCCTGCTCCCTTCTCCTCCCTCCTCCTCCCCCCTCCTCCCCCCCTCCCCCCCTCCTCCCCCCTCTCCCCCTCCCCCCCCTCGTCGCACGGCCCTGGGGGTGGCCGCGCTGCCCGCCTCCCTGCTGCTGCCGCTGGCGGGCGCCCGCTCCGCCGGGCGCCCCTGCGGGCGCGGTGCCCCCCCCCCCCCCGCGGGAGGGGCACCGCCATGGCCTCGCCGCCTCGCACAGCTGGGGCGGTGCGGGTGGCCTTAACTCGGGCCTGTGCCTCCGCGGGAGGAATCGATTCAAACATAGTAAACGAAATAGTCCGAGGGCGATTTTTAAAGCATTTTTTGACCACTTGGGAGTATTTTCTGGGATTCTTTTTATAATGTTTCGTCCAAAAAGCCCCCTTGTAGGAGGACAAAAATAGTGCAGAAATAGTCCGAAGACGATTTTTACCTAACAGCGAAGACTGATAGGTTTCTAGTTGACTCAAAAGAGCTCACAGATCACTCCACAGGGGGGTCCGGGCAGGTGTTGGGGCGTTTCCGGGGGGCATGAGCCGGGCTCGTTTTTCACCAACAGTCACACACTTCGTGCTCTTCGCCTTCCCAGAACTCCATTCCCAGGCCACATTCTGGGGGGCCGGATGCAACAGTCACACACAAAGTGCTCTTCGACATCCCAGAACGCCATTCCCGGGCCACATTCTGGGGGGCCGGATGCAACAGTCACACACTTCGTGCTCTTCGAGTTCCCAGAACGCCATTCCCGGGCCACATTTTGGATGCCCGGAGCCAACTGTAGGCCACTTCGTGCTCTTCTATTTCCCAGAACTCCATTCCCGGGCCACATTTTGAATGCCCGGAGCCAACTGTAGGCCACTTCGTGCTCTTCGAGTTCCCAGAACTCCATTCCCGGGCCACATTTTGAATGCCCGGAGCCAACTGTAGGCCACTTCGTGCTCTTCGAGTTCCCAGAACTCCATTCCCGGGCCACATTTTGAATGCCCGTAGCCAACTGTAGGCAACTTCGTGCTCTTCGACTTCCCAGAACTCCCATTCCTGGGCCACATTTTCAGCAGGGGCAAGAGCACGACGAGGAGGAGGACGAGCAAGACCAGGAGGACGAGGACGAGCAGGAGCAGGACGAGGAGCAGGAGGAGCAGGAGAAGAAGGACGAGCAGGAGGAGGAGGAGGACGAGCAGGAGGAGGAGGACGACCAGGAGGAGGAGGACGACCAGGAAGAGGAGGAGGAGGAGGAGGAGGAGGGGAGGGGGAGGAGTACCAGGAGGAGGAGGAGGAGGAGGAGGAGGAGGAGGAGGAGGAGGAAGAGGAGGAGGAGGAGGAGGAGGACGAGGACGAGGAGGAGGAGGAGGAGGGGGGGGGGAGAGTACCAGGAGGAGGAGAACGAGGACCACCAGGAGGAGGAGGAGGAGGAGGAGGAGGAGGAGGAGGAGAGAACACCAGGAGGAGAAGGACGAGCAAGACGAGGAGGACGAGAACGAGGACGACCAGGGAGGAGAGGAGGAGGAGGAGGAGGAGGGGAGGGGGAGGACTACCAGGAGGAGGAGGAGGAGGAGGAGGAGGAGGAGGAGGAAGAGGAGGAGGAGGACGAGGAGGAGGAGGAGGAGGAGGACGAGGAGGAGGAGGGGGGGGGAGAGCACCAGGAGGAGGAGAACGAGGACCACCAGGAGGAGGAGGAGGAGGAGGAGGAGGAGGAGGAGAGAGCACCAGGAGGAGGAGGACGAGCAAGACGAGGAGGACGAGAACGAGGACGAGCAGGAGGAAGAGGAGGAGGAGGAGGAGGAGGAGGAGGAGGAGGAGGAGGAGGAGGAGCAGGAAAAAGAGGAGGAGGAGGAGGCAGGCTGAGGCTGAGGCTGTGACTGCGACTGCCGTTGCCGCTGCGACTGTCATCGCGAATGCGACTACGACTGCGAGAACAGCAGAATTCGACAACTGGATTTTCATCTGAATCTTAAGGGGAATGCTTTCAGATATGCTTCTACACATCGCTGTTAGGTTGCTTTGCCGGGATAATTGAACATTTTTTGCCACTTGGGTTTTTTTGTTGGACCATTTTCAGTTTTTCGTCCAGGAAGCTTCCTGTAGGAGGACAGGCCCGACTCAAGGCTGGCCCCGCGATCGGCGAGGCGTTGGCCCCCAGAGGCCTCCAGAAGAGGGCCTCCGGGAAGGCGCGAAGAGGCCCAAGTCTGTGCTGCTCCTCGGCTTTTTCTTGTTGCTGCTGCTGCTGTTGTTACTGAATTCTCACTTCTGAAGAATAATTATTGTTGATCCCCCCAGCTGGGGCCGGCCGTCCCTCTCTGTCTTCCGCTCTCCTCCCCTGTTGCTCATTTCTCCTCCTCTCCCGTTCTCCCCCTTGCCCTTCTCTCCATCCGTCCACGCATCCCCCTCGGAGCCACCGTAGTAATTACATCGGCGGACCATCGCAGTACGAACGTGTGTGGCTACTCGGGTTTCCCAGCCAGCCCGGGAGGGCCCGCGAGGCAAGGGCGGCTGCGGTGGCAAGCTCGCTTCCGACCTCTCGACCAGTTCCCCAGGACTTGCTTCTCACCCCGATTCGTTTCTGGCGGCCCCGAGGCTTGGTGAGGGCCCCGAGGGGCCGGAAACAATGAAACACAGCCGTCTCGCTTCTGTCTGAGACGCCGGATGTCTGGGGAGGGGGGCCGCTGGGGATGGGGCGCCGGTGAGGGGGTCCCAGCCTCCAGGGAGGGGGGCCGGGGAGCGGGTGCCGGGCGGGGGGGGGGGAGCGCCAGGGAGGGGCGGGGGGCAGGGAGCGGTCCAGGGAGCGGGGGGGGGGGCGCGCCAGGGGGAGGCGAGGGCCCCGGGAGGGGGGCCCAGGGAGGGGAGCCCCAGGACACGGCCGTTGCTTCCCCCCTCCCCTCCTCTGCCCGCGGGAGGCCCCGCCGCCACGGCAGGGGCGGCCGCGCGCAGGCCCCCTCGCGCGCCGCCGCGGAGAGCCGGCGGGAGGCCGGCCCGCCTCGCGGCCCGCGGGGGGGAGGGGGAGGGGTGCTGCTCTTGCGTCCTTCTAAGGAGCCTTGCCCCCTCCTCCTCCTCCTCCTCCTCCTCCTCCTGCTCCTCCTCCTGGCTCTCGGGCTTATCCACCCCCACCCCGAAGCTTTCAAGTACACAGCTTCTTATTTTCATCATTACCGACTCGCCCATCAGGAGAGCAGGAGGGCGACCCTTCCCTACTTCCCCGAGGCGGCCACTTCCCTCGCTCGTGCGGCTTCAACAGCTGTCGAGCTGCCCCTCGGCGGTCCTCTCCGCAGGAGGCCTCGCCCTAGTGGCTAGCTGTGGAGACCCGCGGTTCCCTCAGACGCTCCAACCTCCTCCTCCTCCTCCTCCTCTCCTCTCCTCCTCCTCCTCCTCCTCCTCCCCTCCCCCCTCCCCCTCCCCCTCCCCCTCCCGGCTCAGGCACCGATCGGGTGATCGCTGGTTGACCCCAAAAGGAGGGTTCAGCGAGAAGAGGGTGGTGCAACAGATTTGGTGCGGTCGATCTGTGGGGTCGCAATCGAGTTGGGGCGGGCAATACGTTCCGTTGCGCAGATGTATTGCTGGGTTTTCGCGTGCAGTACAGTAGATGCAATACAGTGCAATCAAATTTTCTGCTGCAATGCATTTGCAATACAATTGTCCCAGACCCTTTCAGCTGGACCCACTTGTGGGTCAACCAGATGATTGCTGCGTCTGCGTGTCACGAACGAGAAGTGAAATACTATGCCGACCTGGGCCTGTATGGGCCAGCAAATGACGCCTGGCGGGCGTAGGAGCAAGAAGGGCGCAAGAGGTGCAGAAAGAAGGCAGTGGTCCCATAAGGGCAGAGAGTATACGCCAGCCAGGCGGTGAAATCGAGAGAGGTGACCAACATCGAATCCAAACAGACAGGTGAAGATAACCTGATAGGAGGGGTGAGCATCTGAACGGAGTGAACGAGCTACGCGTTCAAGTAGAGCAGGCAGGTGGTGCTTAGGGCAAACGGTGTGTCAGCTGGCCTGCACATGGTGAGCTGTGTATCCTCTGGTCGCTCGCCGAGAGGGTACTGGGCCGCTGTTTGTATCAAGTGGGCGGTTAAAGTACAGAGATGGCCGTGGGCTTGCGCAGACGATAATGGCTGGCCTACGCAGCCCTTTGTCATACGATTAATTTGCAAGTTTGCAAGTCTTATGACCCTCCTCCTGCACCTCCACTATGACCTTCACAAACCCATAATCTAACAGTGAGGCTGGACATGTGGTGAGAAAGCTTGGAACGAAGGGCGTGTCAGATGCAGCAGTCAGGATGACGCTACCCAGCTGGGCAATCATACTGTTAGCTGGCCTTGTCCTGCTGGCCGGCCTGCGGCGATTAAACTGTAGGCTATCTCGAAGTGAGAGGGCAGAATGAGCATGGTAAACTAATATTGGTCAGCAAGACAAAGTGCTACAAAACATTGACCGGCAGAGCACAGTGGGGAATGGGCTCGCCCCTGCCGATGGTCAGAATGACCATGCCGCGTAACATAGTCATCTTCCCTCCCCTACCTACCCCATCCAACACACTTCCCACCTTTCCCCCAAGTGTCTGACGGGGTGGCGCGGTCAAGTATGCAGGGCAGCTATAGCTAAAGAAGGGCGCAGCGCTGCATCTCTGTAAGGCGTGGGAGACTGGAGCCAATAGAAGAGAATAATGCGGTAACATGTGCTGAGGAAGTGCACATTGCCGTGGTGGGCATGGGCACGGCGGACTGCAACGGGTGAAGCTCCCTGATCTGCAGCCTTTGGGTATGCTGTGGACACGTCCAGTCAGCAGGTCTGTGTCTTAAACTACAGTGTGCTCGTGTGGCTCCTTCAGTAAAAGGGGGGTTACATTCAAAGTATGCCTGTGGATCCGATACCCCCTCCGATCACCGAACCTTCACCCCTCTCTCACGATATCCGTCCAGTGAGAGGCTGAGAAGTGCAGTGTGGGAGTGGGGCCTACAGAAAAGATATTCCAACGTAATTGTGCTAACGTGGCCAACTCCCTGCCGTGCAGGGGGCCGATCTAGCTGCTTCTACCCCGCCCGCCGAATTCCCCCCCATAGGCCAACCTCCCCCGCCCATAAGCACGAGGAGTGGCAAGTGGCGCCAACAGTGGGGCCGCTCTTCGCTTCCTCGGTGGAGAGGCCAATTTTCTTTGTCTCGTAGCCAGATGGGGACAAGTAACGTGGGAGAGGAGTGCGTGGGATGGCGTGTGGTGCTCAACCGTCTCGCCTGGGGGAGAACGACGGGCAGCTTCGAGATGGGCTACATAAGTTGCCACAGAAGCATGGTAAAAAGGAAGCGCTCTGGTACAGGAATGCGGATATCGTAGTTTAAGGCCATGTCAAAGTGAGCTGGGAAGTGGAGAACTGAGAGCAACGGTGCAAAAGCGTATTCACGGATGGCACGGGGTACCCAGGGTATGGGGAGAGCCCATGCGCAGTGACCCATTTAAGAGGGGTACAGGTAGCTTTGCGCTGCCGGCACAGTCGTGAGCTGGCATCTCTCCACCCCGTCCTTTGACCCATACCAACCTCCTCCCAAAGGTGTAGCATGTGCAGGTAGGGAGGTCTGGCGGCTCGGTAGGTATTTTTGCCCATATCACTGTGGCTCTGGTGCCTCTCCCCCAGGTGCTCCCCATAGCGCTCCCATGCAGGGTATGAGGCTTAGGTCAGTTCGTCTGCGTGTGTCTGCTAGGTATTGCTCGTATTCCTGCTGATGTGCTCTGACCTTGTCGAGGTATTCCGTCAGTAGTGGCTCATCGTCGTTGTTGATGTCATGGGCGTTGTCACCTGTGGGTGTCGGCGTCGATGCCTTTTGGCCATCTTCCATGGGTGGTGGTGCTTTTGGTCGGAAGTAGGCTGCATTGGTTGCCTGTGTCTGAGGTATTCGGCGTGTAGGTGGATTGTCGGCGAGCTATCCGAATTTCACCGTCGATGTGCCAGGTGGTGGAGGGACTACAGGAATTTTGAGCTTAGGCGTTCGTGTGTGTGTGTGTTGCAGGATATGGTAAGCTGTACGGTTTGGGACGTCGTTGCGATTCGTAGTCGGAGCCGTCCGGTCAAGTTGCATGTCGTGTGTCCTTGTGCCCGTTGTACGAGCTGGCTTGTGGGCTTGGTGACATGCTTGTATGGTTGATGTGCTGGAGTCCACGTTGCTGACGTAGGAACTTGAAGTATAAGTGCTGCTCGTGCTGTCTGATGTGTGCTGCATTGGTGGTTTGTAGTAGCCGCTAATCCTGTCCAATATTGCGGCTGTACGGGGTAGGTCCATTTCCCAATCTCCTTCCAAGAATGTGTAGAACAGTTGTGATACGATTGCAAGTGACGTAGTGGTTCTGGTGTTGGGTGTTGTTTCCTGTCGTGCGAGCTTGTCGTGGATGTACTGGTTGGCTTGTACCTCATCGATGCGAAAGTTGTTGTCGTTGCTGTAGTTTTCCTGCGTGTCTTCCAACGGGCCGTCACGCGGTGGTAATTCGTGGTCGGCTTCCATCGCATCCTTGAGGGTGAGTCTACACAATGGCGGTCTGGTGGCACAGTGAATTGGGATAGTGGCTCTGCTCGTTGGTCGGGTCATAGCGGTGGATGTGGGGGTACTTGTGGGTAACCGACGCTGTCGAAACCTTCACTGTTGTATTTGTCGAGGTATCGGTGCCACTTTTCAAGGAAGACGTTGCGGCATCTTTACGTGTAGGTGTTGTCCTGCTCATTGTAGTAGATTACTCAGTCGAAGTTGTCGTCACATATGCTGTCCATCCAGGTAGGCAGTGCATGTGATGCTGAGGATGTGGTAGCGTCGGTGTACGTGTGAAAGGTGCTGGTGCTTGGCTGTCGTAGTCACTGTCGTAGTCGTCGTCGTTCCAAGGGTCATCGGTGGGTGCTGGTGTAGCCCTGTTAGGTGCGCTGTGTCGTAGTCGTCTGAGCGCCATGGGCTTGTGGAGGTAGCTGATGCTGGCGCTTTGGCTATATGTGGATACGCTTTGGGTTAGGATGGTGGTGCTGGCATCTTAGGTCTGGGCGGTGGTGATGGTGGTGGTGGTGGCGCTTGTTGCTGATATTGGCCGTGGTTTGGTTTGGTGGTCGCCAGGTGGCTTGGTGGGTATGTGCCCAGTGCAGCGCTTCCGTAGGATGTCTTGGTACTCGTACTTTGTCTGGCTGGTCTACTTGTCGTGGAGCTCGTAATTCATCCTGCATGTGGTGGTAGTGCATGTTTTTCTCGCCGATGTCCGTGCGGAATCTTCTGATCATCTTGGGTGGCGTGTAGCTGAAAAGTCCCTCCCCACCCTTCCCCATCCTCCTCCTCACCATTCTCCTCCTCCTCCTCCTCCTCCTCATCCTCGTCCTTTTGCTCTTCCTCCTCTTGCCACTTCTCTATTAGTTCTTTCCTCGTCCTCCACACGGGAGGGGAAGCACCGTGGTCCAGGTCCGCACTGCTGTCCCAAATGGAGATCATATATTTAAGTTCCAGCTGCGCGGCCGCGCGATTCCGCCACCGCGCTCGGGCGGACGAGGAGGTGTGGAGGAGGAGATGGGGGCCCTTGGGGCGGGATGAGGGGAGGTTCCACGGATCAGTATCGTTTAACCACCGACCCCCATCCTCATCCCCATCCCCTTCGAGACCCCCACCAAATTACCCCCCCCAGTTGGGGATGCAACCCTCGAAGCCCGAAGGGAACGACCTGTATCCCCATCTAGGGGGGGTAAATCGGCCAGTGGCGCCCAGGCCACGCCGCTGGGGATGGGGATCGGTTAAACGATGCTCAACGGACCCCCCCTTCTCCAAGCTTTGTATTGGGGTCCAATTTCCATCTGGAGGGCCACAAAGGCAGGAATTTGGTTGCAGCGATGAGCGTATCTTGGGCTCGATGCGTCCGGGGGGCCTAATTACCGCTTCGCGAAGAGCGAAAGGGCCCGACGCACACCAACCGCTGCAAGCGCGGTGGCGGACTGCATCCGGAGCAGGCCAATGGTGAAGCGTGCTGTCGATGGCGGGTCGACATCCAGGACTTTGGGGGTTTAACTATTTTATGCTTGGAGTTGTTCTCGGGACTTTGTCTCAAGAGTTCAATGCTTAGTCTTCCTGCCTAAGGCAAACCCAGCGGCAGCCACCAACGATGCGGCGGAGGAGGTGCAGCAGGTCACAGGCGCCAGCCTCGCTCTTCCTCTCCGCCTTGAGCCTCTGATCAATCGTTCCCTCCCGCTCTCTTTCTGCAGCATCCATTTTCTCATTTTTCATGTCAAGCCGAGCTGGGTGTAGTTTTTTATTTCTGCATTGCCTGGCCATGGTGCGTCATTGGATCTGTGCAGGCCAGTCAACTACGAGCAAGTGTGTGCTGGTTCAGCACGTGCTGCGCGTGCCCGTGACCGGAGTTTTTACAGAGGTCCAGGGAGCGGGGCCAGGGTAGGGCGAGTTCTCCGAGCGTCGCAGAAGTTCCAGAACATACCCCTCAGAGAAGTGCATGCTGCAACGAGCAAGCTGGCCACAACTTCCAGGAAACGAAGGGCGCTCCCGAGAGGGGCAGGGCCTCCTTGAGTCCCCTAGAGACTTCTGGGAAGCCCAGGCGGACACGAGAAGTCCTCCTCTCCGTCCAGATTTATGTCGCCAGCTTCGACCTGGCGGTGGGGGTTCATATCCAGAGCAATCGCCACGCCTGCCGACCAGAGGCTGGGGAGGAGGATGATGATGAGGCGCAGCAGCAGCAGCAGCAGCAGCAGCAGCAGCAGCAGCAGCAGCAGCAGCAGCAGCAGCAGCAGGAGGAGGAGGAGGAGGAGGAGGAGCAGGAGGAGCAGGAGGAGCAGCAGGAGCAGCAGGAGCAGCAGGAGGAGCAGGAGGAGCAGCAGGAGCAGGAGGAGCAGGAGGAGCAGAAGGAGCAGCAGGAGCAGCAGGAGCAGCAGGAGGAGCAGGAGGAGCAGCAGCAGGAGGAGGAGGAGGAGGAGGAGGAGGAGGAGGAGGAGTAGGAGGAGGAGGAGGAGGAGGAGGAGGAGGAGGAGGAGGAGGAGGAGGAGGAGGAGGAGGAGGAGGAGGAGGAAGAAGCGCGCCATTGCTTTTGACCCTGTCCTGGCGCGCCGCCCGAGTTGGACTCTCTGGAGCGCCCGTTTCTGGCAGCTGCCCGAGGGATGGCCCCGTTGGGTCGCCATGGGGGGCCTGGAGCGACCCTCGCCTGCCGCACGAGCGGCCGCCTCCCTCGGCCCTGGAGGCCCTTCTGGGGCGCGTCCGCGCACCCCTCTGGAGGTCTCCGCAGGTCCGCGGAGGCCTCCAGGGGCCCGAGGAGGACCAGGCACGTGAAACACGAAGGACTCTCGAGCCCAAAGACTCGATCCCCGAACTTCGGTTCTCGAACGTCTGGGCGGGGTGGTGGCGGCTGACAGGTCCTGCGGTGCCGATTGCGGTCCAGGCTGCGGCGACGCATCCCCGACCGGCTGTGCGGCGAGTTCCAGCGCGACCCCGTGGGGGGACCCGTTGTCCAGTGTCGGCCCTGGGCAACCCGCTGTCGCTGGCTTGTCCACAGGGGCCCACGCGCAGCGGCAGTGCTGAGGAGGAGGAGGAGGAGGACGAGGAGGAGGAGGAGAAGGAGGAGCAGGAGGAGGAGGAGGAGCAGGAGGAGGAGGAGGAGGAGCAGGAGGAGGAAGAGGCAGAGGAAGAGGAAGATGAGGAGGATGCGGAGGAGGAGGAGGAGGATGAGGAAGAGAAAGAGAAAGAGGAAGAGGAGGAGAAGGAAGAGGAGGATGATGATGAGGAGGAGGAGGAAGAGGAGGAGGAGGAAGAGGAGGAGGAGGAGGAGGAGGAGTAGGAGGAGGGAGGAGGAGAAGAGGAGGAGGAGGAGGAGGAGGAGGAGGGAGGAGGGAGGAGGGCGTAGGCGGGGAGGAGGAGAAGGACGAGGAGGAGGAGGAGGAGGAGGAAGAAGAGGAGGATGAGCGGAGGAGGAGGCGGAGGAGGGTTTTTGGGAGGAGGGAGGAGGATGAGGGTGGTGGTGGTGGGGAGGAGGAGGAGGAGGAGGAGGAGGAGGAGGAGGAGGAGGAGGAGGAGGAGGAGGAGGAGGAGGAGGAGTGGGAGGACGAAGAGGAGACAGAGGAGGAAGAGGAGGAGGAGGAAGAGGAGGGGAGGATGAGGAGGAGTAGGATTAGGATTAGGATTCGGATGAGGATGAGGATGATGATGATGATGATGATGATGATGATGATGATGATGATGGTGGTGATGAGGAGGAGGAGGAGGATGAGTAGCGGGAGGAGGAGGAGGAGGAGGAGTACGAGTAGGAAGAGGGGGAGGAAGAGGCTGAGGAGGAACCCATAGTATTATTAATCGTAGTACTGGTATCAGTGGTAGTTATACTATTGCTCATAATCGTAGTAAGATGACGAATAATTCTATACGTAGAAAGCTTTGTAAGACGAGTGCTACTACTACCATTAATTATATCAATAAGGCTACTGCGACGACTAATATTACGATTACTACGAATAATACGAGTAATACTGGTAATATGTAGAACATCAATATGGATAACATCAATATAATATTTAGAATGCGAATAGTTATACGAATAATAATGCTAGTAATAAGCATAATGATTTAACTATTACTGAGAGCAACAACAATACGACAACTGATCAGCATTATAATGATAATGCCAGTAATCGTAATAATAATACTAATAATAGTAATAGTACTAATATTATTAATATTATTACTAATACTAGTAATACTACTAATACTTTTATTCGTAATAATAATACTACTAATAATAATACTAATAACAAGTGGCACGCGTGCCCTGGCTCTTGCACAAAGGTGTCCGAGGCTCAGGGGGGCTGCCCTGGGAAGCCTGGGCGGGGGGGGGGGCAGGGGGGGGGGCAGGGGGACGAACGACACGACACGACACGACACGAAAATAAAAGTGGCCCAGGGGGGCTACCGTGGACGGGGGGGGGGGGACGAACGACACGACGAACGACGAAAATAAAGGGTTCCGTGGCCCAGGGGGGCTACCCTGGGAAGCGTGGACAGGGGGGGGCGAGGGGGACGAACGACACGACGAACGACGAAAATAAAGGGTTCCGTGGCCCAGGGGGGCTACCCTGGGAAGCGTGGACAGGGGGGGGGGGCGAGGGGGGCGAACGACACGACGAACGACGAAAATAAAGATGTCCGAGCTCTAGAGCACA